GCTACTGTACATGTCAACCTTTATCTGCACGGCCTCTATGCCCACTTAGGTGGTCGTTTAGGATTTATTGGTTTCGTTATTTACTTACGTCTTACATAATTAAGCGGATTTATCAATGGAATTAATAAAAATCAAAAAAATCGTGATTTTTTTGATTAATTTAAATAAATCAGTGATTTTTGATTTTTTAAATAAAAATCAATTTTTGCCCAACACTGATCTTAGACGCCACGGGAAATGTGCTAATTTCCATTCTCCTCGCTCCAGGTCGATGTGCGAGTTTCTCCACTTGAAGCCCAACGTGTTCCCCCACTTCTACCCCAAGCTTCGGGCCAATCTCACGTCGTGGAGGGCCAAAGCGCTTTGGAAAAAGTTCGACGCGCGCGCCTTCCACAAGTGCTACGCAAAAGGGAAAATCTGCGCAGGAACCCGAGTGCTGGTGATTGGGGCGGGGCCTTGCGGGCTGCGCACCGCCATCGAGGCGCAGCTGCTGGGCGCTAAAGTGGTACTGAAGCCCCGCGATCAGGCTGCCAACCAACATGCTCAAGTGTTTCATGGTCGTTTCAGGTTCTGATAGAGAAGCGCGATCGCTTGTCCCGAAACAACGTCCTTCACTTGTGGCCCTTTGTGATCGAAGATCTGCGCATGCTCGGCGCCAAGAAGTTCTTCGGGAAGTTCTGCGCGGGGGCGATCGATCACATCAGCATCAGGCAGCTGCAGTGCATTCTACTTAAGGTGGCTCTGCTGTTGGGCGTGGAAGTTCACACGGAAGTCAGCTTCGAGCACCTGCTCGAGCCCAGTGCTGCTGAGAGTGAGTTTTTGGGCGCTTTCAAGCGCGTGGAGTTTAAATCGCCTGGGTTTTCCCCCAGAGACCGGATGGAGGGCGGAAATCAAGCCGGAGAACCACCCGGTGGCGCAGTACGAGTTTGACGTCATCATTGGTGCGGATGGCAAGCGCAACACCCTGCAAGGGTTCAAGCGGAAGGAGTTTAGAGGCAAACTGGCCATTGGTGCGTACCTGCTGTTTCATTTCTCTTTGTTTTATTTAAAACTGCAACCACCTTCCAGCCATCACCGCGAACTTCATCAACAAGAAGTCGGAGGCGGAAGCGCGAGTGGAGGAGATCAGTGGCGTCGCCTTCATCTTCAACCAGAAGTTCTTTAAGGACCTGCAAGGGGAAACCCGCATAGACCTGGAGAATATCGTCTACTACAAGGACGACACCCACTACTTTGTGATGACCGCCAAGAAGGCCAGTTTATTGGAGAAAGGAGTGATCAAGCAGGTGAGGCCCGGTGCAGGAGCGGCGAATTATCGGTTTGACGAACGTTTGTTGCAGGATTTGTCCGATACTGAGAAGCTGCTGGCGCCGGAGAACGTCGATCGGGACGCGCTGCAAAACTATGCACGCCAGGCGGCCGATTTCAGCACAAACTATCAGCTGCCTCACTTGGAATTTGCTGTAAATCACTACGGACAGCCGGATGTGGCCATGTTCGACTTCACCTCCATGTATGCGGCAGAATACGCCTCAAAGGTCGTGGAACGCCACGGATCTAGACTACTGATGATCCTGGTGGGGGACAGTTTGCTTGAGGTACTCGCGCTACTAATTTTCCTGGATTGAACCGCACTAAGACGTTCTTTTGCAGCCGTTTTGGCCCACCGGATCAGGCTGTGCGCGCGGATTTCTCTCTTCCTTAGATGCCGCGTGGGCGATCCGGAGCTACTGCTCCGGGCAAATGACTCCGCTGGACGTGCTGGCGGAGCGAGAGTCGATTTATCGGCTACTGGCCCAAACTACCCCCGATAATCTGAACAAGGACTGGAAAGCCTATACTCTGGATCCAGCCACAAGGTAAAAACCGATGACTTAAATGAGAATTGTATGCATTGTATTTATTATTGTTTTTTGCAAAGGATTATTTGATGAATCCACAGACGCCTATCGGCTGCACATGTCCCAAAAGCCCTAAAAGTATCAAAGTTGTGCTTTTCTAAATGAAACACCCTATATATTATTGCATTTTTGGATTCTCTGAGCAAAATAAGTGTTAATTTTAATAAGATTTATAATGTCTAAATCTAAAGGTTCTTTAAATAATTCGAATTCTACCAAAATCTAATATTATTTTCATCTGTCAAATACGTGCGAATTACTTAAGTTCTGTAAACGTAATTCGTAGTGTAGTGTAACAAGAAACCATATTTTATATCCCAATGATGATAAAATTACCATTTTATACAGGGAGTCCACAAATTTAAACTAATCAAATAAGAACTTTAAGTGGCTCTAACTTGACTAATTTAAATGCAACCCCATATTTTTTAGCTTAGCAGTAACTACCACACGTTTATGATGCACCCTGTATATTGGAAAGTAATTTTAGAATGTGGACCTTTTAAACGTGAAAAACTTTCGTTGGACGAATTTTCTTGTAAACTTCATATTTACTGAGATATCGCACGTTGACGCACTAATGAGCAACCCTGTATATCATTACCATATATACCGGAAATTAACACAAAAATAAAAATATGTTCACACCACATAATATCAACATAGCAGAAAAAACTAAAAACACCTTAGCAAATGAATGTTTCACAAAATTTAAACCTAGAATTAACAAGTTAGACACGCCTAATGTAATTTACAAAATAGACTGTTTGAATTGTGATAACACATACATAGGTCAAACAGGACAATATCTAAAGAAAAGA